AATGTGTCTAGTGAAGTTTGTAAATGATAATAATAAACTGGTAAACTGTTCAGTCACACTAGTTGATATTAGTGAACAAATAGAAAGAAAAAGGCATCAGTTATTTCCAATGTAGTTAGGCAAACAGTTTCAATATATTACTTGCAATCAATATAAGACATCCATCTCGTATGATTATTGCTCGAGAACACAATAAATAAGATTCAGTAAGTATAAATAGCTTAGTAATTCAAAATATGAAATACAAAACTAGAATTCTTTACAAAATAAAAGGTGTTTGTATACAGCTTACTTTTATTTGGCTGCCAAGTACGTCTGGATTAAGACAAAAAAGAACTACTTTGAATTTTTCTGTTGAATTCAAAAGGAATTTCGATGACCACGTTTGTGATGTTTGATGAATTGCAGGATTCGCTGTCAAAGATTTATTGATTATATTCGATGTTGTGTCCGGTGAAGAAGTTGGAAAATCAGCCTAGAATTAATAATTTTATTACAGTAGTAAAACAATCACAATCCCACTGGAATGACAATAAAAATTAAGTAATTTGTTGACGGAATACACAATTTAAAAAACAAAAGATAATTAGAAGTCAACGAGCATAATACTCTATTGTCTGCACTGATTGCATTTCAAAACTATAGTAATTAGTAGAGCACAAAAGGACTACGCTTAAATCATATCAAGTTATCGTTAATTTATTTAAAACATTGAGTTTCTGGTTTGATATTGTTAATGACCTCGCTTGAACGATCCAACTATCTTATTGTGTAGTATTCTTCAAGAGTGACCCGACCACAGACACTACCTTGATGTGGTGGTCAAGCTTGCCTATCGTGATGAAAAAACCGAGCTGAATTGGCTATAACTTATGTTCCTGAAGGTTCTACCATGCCCGGCAGGTCGACTGGAGAACGATGAGACTAAAAGCAGCTACCCAAGGTCTGAGGACGAAGTCGTACTGCTGACTGCAGAGGGGTGTGACAGCAGTAAGGTGTTTCCCTAGGACAACCAGCATCTGCAGCGATGCTGCCTTCTCACAAGGAAGGAAGGGTTAGAAAAGGTCGACCCTAAAAATGTCACACCTCACCCTACCTCACGGATTTCTGTCTCCGGCGGTAAGGGCTGCCCAATAAGGGCTTTTAAGAGCGGCGCTAATACTAAAAATACCTTTCATAAAAAGGCCGTGCGTGACCGGCCTCAAGCAGTTGTCCCGCGGACTCTGCGGTCACGCTCCCAAGTCTCTAAGACCAACACTAATCTACCTTCCTTTTCAGGTTCCTCAAGAAACAACCTTCCATGGAGTGGGTAGCCGGGAAGTGACAACCGCCCTCATAACTGTAACAGCAAGCGAGACCAAATTGGTCACAAACAAATCTTTTCTACACCCCGTAATATCTGACTGACTGACACAGAACAACTAGTCAGCAAAATTAAAATACAGCTTGAAAGGGTAGTGAATTATATTCTGACAAAAGAATAGAATGCTGTAGGTTAAACGATCTTCTCAACAAGTCATAATTATGAAATAACATCACTTCAGGTAGCGTTCGATGGATCTAAAGTTCTATACATGTTAGAAATGTTTTCACATAATCCTAATACAGTTTAAAGGTAGGATAAATAATAATAAAGTGGATAGTTTTGGAATTCTAACAGGCCCATCATTTTCAGTTGGTCCAGTTACTTAAACTTAATAGTATGTTCTTGGTTTTTAAAAAAAATAAGAGAATTTAAATAGTTCAAAATCATTTAAAGAGATACGATAAAATGATCAGGTGATGTTAAGTCTTTTTAAATTACCTTGTTGGAAAAAGTTACAGTGACATGATGAACAAGGACGGGTAAAGGAGCAAATGATCTATAAATGAGAAATAAAGAAATAACCAAAATAAATACTAAACACGGCTAAATGTAGTCAATTACAGTAAGTTAAAATAACAAGAAAATTATGATTACTACTGGTAATGCGATTATGACCCACTTTCCTTTGCACTTCACATAATCATAGTGTAAAACAATAAGATTTAACAAGAGAAGAGTTTAAACAACAGTTTAAACAACAAACTGATTTGAGCACAAGCACTAAAACAACGGCAACATTCTTAATCTTCCTTACTAATCTCTTGGTAAGCTGTTTTTTTTTTAAATAATAAAAATTTAACTGATTCACTTTTCTAAAGGTACAATATTGCAGTAGCTGTTTACTTGAATCAACCTGATGACAACTAAATCATAAAGAGTTAATGTAAAATGAGAAATTATGAATAGAATACCGTAGGAAAACACCCAATTGAACAGGTTGACCAAAAGTATACTCCGATTGCGTAAAGCAAACTTTGCATTGTACTGAAATAAAAATAATTATAAAAGCAATGTAATACGACTACTGAATCCAATAAGACTTAACAACAATATATTTACTAACTGAACTTCAAATGGCAAACTGTTTAAGAATCATATACATCGGTTACAAAACTTCATCAATATTGGTTAACATGAATTTCTGTATGATGCAACAAAATTCCCATAATGATAGCGCATGTAAAGCTTGACTGTTAATCCTGCAATGTAGGTTTATTTAACTGCATAATGATTTGTAGGGTAAAGTCATTTGTTCGGTCAGTGGAAGGAAATTCTAGTTTTTGCCTATGTATTGCGATTATTTAGGAAGATTGAGAATGTTCACCGCCACAGGTTAATTTTATTCGTACTATTAAATTGGAAAATGTAATGTCAAGTTATAAATTAACATAGAAAGATTCGCAACATACGAACTATTGGGATATTTGAGTATTAATGAATTCAATTATGTAATTTCCCGGTGTGTATACTAATATATTGAGCACACATGGCTTGTACAGACTTTTAGACAAACTAATTAACCTTTGTTGACCGAGTCGTAATTTACACATGTTTTGGCCTAGCCAACCATTCGCTCATGTCTTGGTTGTTTATATTTGAGAATCAGATGGTCAGTGACAACGTAGAACCTTGTAAATCTATCAGCTCGAGCCGCCAAACCTCATTAGCACAAAGACGTAATAGGAGATTGGATTATGAACAATAATCGGAAATTTTAGGGTTTGAAGATGTTATTCAAGAAGTATAATCCAGTGAAAAAAAACGTTTAAGATAAAGATGAAGGTCATGAGAAATTTAGACGAATGGAATTCAAGAGAACACAAACAATGGATCCACAAGCAACATTGTAAACGATTCTGAGCCATATCGTTCAAGGTCTTTAACCATCGTTGACTTTCGTCTCGCGGACCCCAACCAAGTAGTCTACATCTACTAACATGACTCAATCAACTTGTCAGTGACTTCATGGATTTGTGTCATGTTTTGGTTTGGCCGCCCCTAGCTTTCTTCCAACCTACTCCTACACCACAAAACATAGCTCTTCGAGGCAGTCGGTGGTTAGCCATTCGTAACACATGTCCCAACCACCTCAACTGATAAAGTTTCACCACTTCATCTATTGATCTGCCATTCTTACCTAGAACTCGTTTCCTAAGGACAGCATTGCTTACTCGGTTGTTCCACGATATGCGAGCGATGCTTCTAAGACACCTATGATCGAATACTAGCAACGTACGAACATCTTCCACTCTTAACGGCCATGTTTCGCATCCATATAGGAGAATGGAGCGAACTACTGCGCAATACACCCGTCCTTTGGTTAGCGAACGGATATCTCGCCTACGCCATAAACGGCGTAAATTGGCAAAAGCCAATCGAGCCTTCTGTATCCGTGCTGAGATTTCGTCAGTCACCAGGCTATCGGCACTGATGAGACTCCCCAGATAAGTGAAGCGGTCTACACGCTCGACTACTTCTTTACCTATCACTAGTTCAGGTGCCGATGCAAGCCAATCCCGAAGCAGCACTTTTCATGATACTAACTGTTAGGATATTCATCCAATATCCTAAGAGAATTATTGGTCGATCCCTATTGGTTAATTCCTCCTAGTCGATTTTATGGTCGTCCTAGATATCAATGTTAGGTACTCCAATGTTGTTTCTAATTGGTCGTCCTGCTGACTGTCAATGTCACTTCAAATGTTACTTTCTATTGGTCTTCGCAACTATCAATGTCACAGACTTCGATACTTTTTTCTATTCGATCTGAATGCATAAATACGCATTATCTGTAAAGCTATTCTAGTCCATTCCTTCCTGCCTTTCTCTCTACTGTACTCGACCCGATAAACAACTTCATCGAACGGTCCTGTGTTCTGCTATATAAGAGATTTGGGAACAGTATTTGGGGTCGTATTAAAATATGTAAATTGAACGTCGGTAGGATTTCAATAGCTACTTAGCGTCATTATAACACTAACTGAATGCTAAACTCAAATTAGGTGAAGTGGGGTTCAAAGCTTTAAACAGTAAATCAATGTTCTATGTGGCAGATGAGATGAAAATAAATTTATGCATCAGTTTATTAAGTATTTAATACTGACTATCTCTATGTTTACACACTTACTACATGTACTAAGCCGGGTAATGTCCAATGAAATTCTACACTTTTCACCGATATGTGGATCGGTTGAGCTTTGTGCTTTTTTCTCTGAATCCGTTGTATTCTCGTTGACTGAGTCATCATGCGGAAAGCTTGAAGTATGATGTATTAATAAGTCCAACTGTTTCTTCCATCCATCTTCGATAGCTTTTATAGTATGGTCAAGCTCAGGTGCAAACATTATGAAATTAGGAACCCCTGTCTAAAAGACGAAAAACATTATTTAGACGTTTACTGTTATATAATGAAATAGCGACTAAACATATAGATCAATTGTATTAAAACCCTAGAAATTTTCTCTTAAGATTAAACTAACAATTAAGTTGTTTTGCGGAGTTAAAGCGGCGATACGCAATCATCATACAGTTATCTTGTTTCATGATTTACGTAACCCTAACAACCCAACGGTGACGATTCGCATGTCTTTACTAGTGACTAGTTCTGTTAAGGAATTCTCGGAGTTTAAATGAGAAGCCGTGAGAAGTGGAGTTCAGCCGTGTCGGCTTTAAAGCAGTTATTCACCGAAAACAATGGACGAGGTCAGTCAGTCAGTCAGTTACAACGTATAACTTCGCACATAAGTACATACGTTCAGGTTGACATACCACATTAACACAGAGACACAACTGCCAGTTCAAATCCCACAGTAGTAGTGGTAACGGAGGTATTATTCAAGAAGTATAATCTAGTGAAATAATAATCAGTGAGATGACATTAGTAAGGGGAAGATAGAAGTAATAAGGAACTCAGAATACTGGAATTTTAGAGAACACAAACAATGGATCCACACCCGCCACTGGAAGCGATTTTGAGCCATGTCACTTAACGTCTCTAACTATTAGTTACTCTCGTCTCACAGACGGCAACCAGGTAGTCTACATCTACCTACACGACTCAGTCGACTTGTCAGTGACTTTACGGATTTGTTCCATTTTTTGGTTTGGCTGTCTCTAGCTGTTTTACAACCTACTCTTACACCACAAAACATCACTCCTCGAGGCAGTCGGCGGTTGAGGATACGCATCATTGATTGATTGAAGCGAGACATTAGGACAGTGGATGCCGGCCCAGCTTTCTAGAGGTTAGGCGTTCGAGGGTGAGACAGAAGGTCTTTAGTTCGATCTCCGAAAACGCAGATCGTGAATGCACACTGCTGATGAGTCCAATACTACAATGAAACGACGGGTCAGTGCATCCAGGTTTATAATAGCGATTCATGATTTCAACGAAATTATTTTGTTCACTTACAATACACAGAAGCTAAACATATAGGTTCATTAAGAATAAGCTGTTCACAACAATTATTATACACAAAACAAGTAACAAATTACCCTAAGGAAATCAAAAATTGCTTGTTGAGCATGTATTTTCTCAGAGATAGGCATCAAGCTGTCTGGAAGAACAAATAATAGATGACAAATAAAAATTAAACGATAAAAATATTCGAAAAGTAATAATAATGACATATGAATTGAAAGATAAAATCGTATAGTTTCATGAAAACAAGTTAAACATATTACATCTGACAATGATACGATAAAACTGTATAAAATGAAGGACAGTGTGTGTATCATCTATCGCACATGATTTAAGTATAACAATCAAAATAGTAATTTATTTGAACATTCGTCCTAATTCCAGCGAACAATACGCTAGAAACTGGGCGTCAGTGAAGTAACAGACGAATAAATTATAGCAGAAATAATTTTGGTAATCCAGTTTAATTAAACTAGTTCGAGATTCTTTAGAGAAACAATTAAAATTATTAAAGATAAGTAATGTCAAGATGAATTCTGCTTAAAAAAGATGAATTTGTTTATAGCAAAAATGTCAGTCGTTCAATATGAGATTGATTAACAGTAAACGTGAATAAAGTAGTTTTCTGTTACATGTAGTTGTTTTTTGTTTATTTACACTTTTGCAGTATTTACCAGTGAGTTTTTTTTCTACGTAGCTATTGTTTCTGAGACAGTGTTTACGTATTTATTATTTCTTAGAGATATTTTCATGCCTTGTAAAGTAATGTTACGAGAGAAAGAAAAACTATTAGCATTCAATTATGATCCATTGTAACTGAGCAGTTGATAGATTGAAAATTCACTTTTCACTGCATAACAATATCAAGAAAAAAAAAGCTTATAACGTTTTTGTGTTCCGTAGTGAATTGCACATTTTCGTGTGCGATTTTTTAGAAAAGATCGCAGTTTTAAAGCTTATGATGTTGCAATGACAATACGAAAGTTGAACTGATAACTAACAAGAATATATCCTTCAATAAAATTGGTTATCTCGTATAAAATAACATGTTATTTTAAACAATCGACAATTGTCAAGCATCTCTCCAATATTTATGCCGATCTAAAGGTATTTTTTTAAAGCAATCACATAAATAGTACGAAATGTAAGCCTTGTGTCTTAGATTTTACGAACATGTTCAACACGTTTATAATTTTGTGATTTCTAGGCAGCACAGTGACATGAAACATCCTGGTAATTTTCAGGGTGTTTATTAGACACATAGGCTCAAATCATTCAAAATTCACTGTAGCTATTAAACGCTTGAAACCTAATTTATTCGTTTACAAAGAAAGTTTTTGGTCTTTTTTGCTCTGGAAATTTTCAACCTAATTTCACAACACTGTTTCGCTTGATAACATATCATATGATATTTTAGTTTATAATCATATTCTTGTGATAATTAATTAATTAATTCTCTAAAAACACTTAATTTTGAACTTCTGATATTTTGATATTATCTTTATTAGAATGTCCAACTAAATGTGTATCTTGTACAACAGGTTCGCAACATTTTAATTCAAAATTTTCAACTTTTTCATGCTATACTACACTATACTAACATGTTTTCGTACTAAATTCTAACCAAATTGATTTTCATAAGTATATTAAAATTTATTGGAAGTTTTCATTGTAAACTACTACAAGTTGTAAGCAATTGATGAAATCCTGATAAAATAAAATGAATTCATGTTTAGCTTCTCAAATTATTGTTTTCATCATCGTCAAATGAATGTTGAACTAATAATTTGAAATGTTAGCTAAATGCCGGAAAGCAATCAGATGAAATAAGAATCGAAAACATTGTGTACTAAGAAGCTAATGTACATAACAATAATGTAGCAGAAAACTCACTGGGTCCAAGAAGTTCCAAACATGAAGAGAGAAATACTGTGGGCTGAGCTATCAAATATGCACATCTAAAAAAAAAAAATGGGAAACAGTTCTGATTATCTGTTGATTGAAAAAAACTGAGACTATAATTTGTGGGAAGATATTCAAGTGAATATTTAGTAAAATAGACAATTCAATTCTATCAATAATGGCTGAGAATGTATACCTTATATTAGCTATCCGAAGGACAATTGACTTGATCTTTTTCTGTAGATAACTGTCATGCCGAATTCATCCGAAATTTCAAAATTTCCCGAAAATTCGAAACTTCCCCAACATGATGGTATTGAGAAACATTTTTATTTACCCGATCAAAGGAGTGTATATTAACTTCGAAACGCGAATCAGTTTATACATGGTTGTAAGGGTGATGTTCTAACCATGAATGCAAATCAAACGTTAATCATCAGTAAATTAAAATTAACTACGAAGCTATTTGACGTAGAAATTTAATAAACCTCAATGCACATGAAATCTAAGCTCAAACAACTGACAAAAACACCACGTACACCAATAGCCAAAACATGTGCACTCAACAAAGGGGAAGTATAAACTGTTATGTAAAGAACAATGTAAATATACCTGCTTTTTTTGATTTTATAACACTTACGTTGCAATTCGCTTCAATGTGAAAGTATAGAGAGACCACCATTTTTCATTACGATATTCATTGACGACACTTAAGTAACAACTAGAAAAGAAGCAGTTGATTGTTGACTTTGATATTTACCTGAGAGCTTTATCATAATCTTGTTTGTCATAATATTCGGAACCCATTAAAATACCTGAAATAAAAATATGTAAAATAAGTGACTAAGAAATGATGAATAAAATGATGGATACAAGTATTACTGGTAATGGAGAAGATTAGGTTTCCAAGATATTATTCAAGAAGTATTATTCAGTGAAATAAACTTCTTGAATAATATCTTGAAACCCTAATCTTCTCCATTACCAGTAATACTTCTATCTTCACCACTATGGTATTTGAACTGACATTTGAACCTGTGCTAATGTGATATGTCAACCTGAACTTATGTACTTACGTACGGAGTCCTACATTGTAACTGACTAACTGATGGATAACCTGACACGTACAAAAATTATCAGACATTAGTAGAACGTCGTATTACTTATCTTTAGTGCTAGAGAAACGTGGTTACATAATCGCAAGCAGGATTGAGATCATTAAAAAGAACAGACAGTAATTTTAGTATCTAAATAATTTCGTATATTTCTATCGATTGAAAATGGAATAATAACAAGTGGAAACATAATGAAAATGATAAAAAAAAGTCAACTTCTGACATAATTAAAACCATTCATTGATGTCGCTTTAAGTTCTTCTCTATATCACAAATCACATTCGTACAGTTCACCTAAAATTCATAAACCAGATATCCCACTAAGATCTATAGTGGACTTTAGAAAAACACCTACATATGCATTATCCAAATACTTAGGCAATATATCAAAGTCACTTCAACACAATTTACATAAAGTAATTAAATATACTTATGACCTCAATTAAAAATATTGGAATTCGTTATCGCAAAGGATGAAACCAAGGTGGGCCATGATGCTGTATACTGATACATTAGTATTCCTTTCGCCCTCCACATTGCAGAGTTATTATCACATGAAGTCGTGGCTGCAGTAAAATAACACATCAATTACGCAAAGAAAGTACTTGGTAATCCTGTAGATTCTGAAAGACTCCAACTTAACTTAACAAAAGCAGTGCATGCTATCTTCAAGTCTATCATCAAGTCGATAGTAAAACTTTCAAAATAATACAAAACGGCTTTTCCAAGTAAAGTAAAGAGACGGGTATAGCTGAAGCTCCGCACATAATGCTAAATCTTACTGACCTCAATAGAAAAGAAGGCCTTACTATTTATCCGACTTGAGTCATGTATCAAACCTACCATGTCTGTATCTATTCACAACTCATGTTATTGTCATGCATACAAATTCACTTCTATCGTTTCACATTACATATGCCACATTTTTCACACCCATTACCACATACAAATACACAATCATATTTCATATGAATCAACTCGACCGGAGTGGCATGAAATTGATTGGAACAGACCAGTTTTTTGATTGATAGACTGATTCTACAAAATATATTTTAAGTTCCGTTGTACTATCTAAACTTGGGTTAATTTAATTCGTTGATTTATTCTCTGAAGAAGTGGCTTACACTGAGTCAGGAAACGTTAGAAAAAACTTTTCTACTCACTGGGATACTACAACTATATTATGTTTTGTCATTAACAATCTGCCTAAAGCTCAATCTATTTGAAATTATTAAGACAAACTTCATTAATGACACCTATTTATAAACAACGAAAATGTGTACTTAAAATCGAGATCCCTGTGTTGAAAATTGAACATCAGTATATAAAATCAATAAGTAAAGGCTCTCACCTTTACTCTTGAGGGTAAGAAAATAGTGTAGTAGTGTATTGATAGGAAACGTCAGGACCAGATGTAATCACTACATAATTTGGGAAGATACAGTTAACTAGCGAAATGTGTAAAACACCTAATCTTCAGACTTCCACTGGAAAATCAAGTAGATTAATGAAAGTCCACTTCTATGCATTCTGGTCGTCAAAACACTTTGATGGATCCATGCATTCCAATCGGCAGACATGCCTTACTCTGGTAGCCACTACCGAGAGACGCTACGCTGAATACTACTACATTGTGAGTAGTATTCATCACACCGGTACAACATGTACACATTAGTGATGATACTTGAGGTGGTGTTCATAGTCTTTCAACAGTGTTCGTGATGAGCCATGATTGTGGTACCATGCCGATCTGTTACGGCTTAACGCGAATCGTATGTGTGCTTCTGTTTCTTTCTCGTCTCATAACACCTGAGATACCACAACTGATCAAATTATAAAATGATTTAGTTGCTAAGATACATCAAATCTTCAAATACCACTATAACCTATTGTGTTAGTCGAATTCCATTATCGAAAACAATCGATAAGAAACTGGATATAGAAGTTTATTATTTCCCGAATTTTTTTCGTAGTAAACGTGAATAAGAGTAGAGTAGTAAAACTTACAATTGGATATTCAGTAATGATACTAAATGTAGTTTAACTGTGAACTCACATGGATACAATTTCATTCGTTCAGCTTTATATCGTTTGTATTGCAGTCGAGTTTGTTCCAGCAAAGGTATTATGAAACTCTAAAATTGCAAAAGCACAGTGATTTCAACTAATATTGCTTATCATAATAGTAAAAACATTTTGAACTATCAAGACAATAAATCTTAGTCTGATTAACGAATACATAGTGTATGGAGTACGGTTTACCGAAAACATAATAATACAGTCTCTATACTAGTAGGATATGAGGCTCTGTAAATTGTAAAGTGAGCAGAAAGATATCATGAAAAATGGAAGTACATTTTAGCCATATTTAACAAGAGGATAAACAGAATCTAAATGTTGGGTGGTTAGGAAGCCAAAACAGTATCATCACATGTGGCAGACTGTTACGTAACGGTGAACTAAAAACTAATGTTAAAATACATTGACGAAACAGAGATAATACAGCCTAAAAATGAGTTCTATGAATAGGAAGAAATGAAGAAAAATCATATCACACAGATATGACAATAAAAGAGGATTGGAAAATCAAATTTCGCTCAGAATTTATATACGATTTTAACGGTTAAATGGATTTCAAATGAACTGGCCGACGACAGGATCAGTCCAATACTCATGAAATGTTTCCATACAGCCACGAGTTCATATCTACTCCTAAGGTAGTCCTACTCACTCCTTTTCTAAAGAGATTTTTTTAACAAAAATGAGAGCTTAAAACAGGTTGACGAATACGAAATATACAACTACGGGGACTGAAAAAGCTTGGTTTCAAACGACTGGTGAAGACAGCCTCAAGGATTCGTAAGGATCGGACAATATGAGAAATTATTCTTGGTCACTGGTTACAATGGTATCGCGTACTCGGACACTGCTTCACTGCCGTATGAACTTAACCTTCAAATTAAAGGCTCGAGGAGTGGACCCTTAAGAAAAAACCATGACCTCCTATCATATACACAATTATCAAGACGATTATTAACAGAAAGAAGCTATCGGTTAAGCTCATTATCTGCATTAACGACATTTACGATCACTTGGTCACATAGATATTCATTTTTTGCACATCTTTCTATTCCGTTTAATACTTAATGTGTTTACTTTTATTTCCACCCCACATAGCAGCCCATATGTGGTGGAAATCCTGTCTTACTGAAATTTGCATGTCAACACACAAAATGAGTTCCGAATAAACTTTTCTAAGACCACATGTGCCATTCAAACTGGCTTCATGTATTAATTTTCGATTACCTGCATTCTTCTCTCTACTTTTTCAAAATTATGTTTCGTGATTTGTATAGTGCGCATTTGTAACAACATTTATGCGTTCAATAAATCAGTAAAATGTCATAGGCAAAAGGAGTAAATGCAGAACAGATTATTAACACTCGCTAGCTGTAAAGTGATAGCTCAAGACTTGTGGAAACATAATTCAGGACTAACTAACTGACTCAAAACGTAATGAAAAAGAACTTACAGAATGATCCACTTTGAGTTCTTCTTTCTGCAAACTTAAGATCCCTTCACGTTCTTTGGCTGGATTTGGTGGTTCGATACTTTGAATTCCTTGGCGCCAAGGTCGTTGGCCGTAAAATTCAAGACCGTTGATTTTCTCTGTAGCTGACTGACAATCTGTTGCAGATAATGGACTGGACGAATGAGAGCCTGATAAATTTGGACTATCAGCTGTACTAGTCTGTTTTTTAAATAATAGAGGTGACTGAGCCCGAACAAATTCTACAGCAGTATTAATTGCTGTACGTTTTGATTTCGTGGTTTCTAAAGGGTGATTTGGTGAATGAGGCGAAGATTCATTGTCTTCGGTAAATAGACTACCGTCTATATCGAAAGCTGCATCAATCCCAATTGCGGATTCATTAGATTTTATTGATAAGGGATAGTATAATCTGTCTTCTGCATTCATTTCAGCAGCTTTAACAGTAGGGATGCATAAAGCTTGGCATAACTGACGACGGCAAACAGCATGTCTAGATGCTTCTTGATAATATAACCCAGGATGTTGGGTCATAAGAGGAGTGAGACTCGATTTGATAGCTTCTTGAAAAAGATCGCCAAGAATTTCAAACCTAAGAAATTCACATACAGTAACAATAGCAATTAAAACTATTGAACTATGTATAAGTAATGAAAATCATTCATCTCAATCAATTATTACCGCTTTGAATTTTATCGAGTATAGAAATAAAATAACACAACACTCACTGTTTTGACATCCATGCTTCATGCTCAAAAGCTAACTGTGGTAATCCGACGAGATTCACAAAGAAATTGATATGCCTTCGAAATTGGGATATTGCATCCGATGCGTTATTTTGAAAAGCCAGGCGGCATATCTAAATGGAAATGATATATATTCAGTTTTCGTGATAACGTAACCTCAACGAATCAACAGTATCAATGGTATGAGTAACTAGATACTACGACAACTATATAATGAAGCACAACTTAATACAGTCAGATTTTAGCTACACTTTATTACAAGGACTGATGATAATATATAACTGAAAAAATCGGATTAGATTGAGTAACATGCAAAATAGAAATTCCATAATCACAATCAAATTGTGTGAAAACATTAGCTGGATGTAATTTCAACTAGATTGTTTTGATCACTCGTCGATCAGTTTATAAACAAGACTGGTAATCATCTTAGAAAAAATACTGAGTTAGTTTGATCGACATAATTTATAAAATGGTAGCATCAAAATCATCAGATAGTTTATGCGTACAATAACTAAGCTGTCTGTATATATCCATATGACTCGTTTCAAAAGTCAGTTTCGTCATTGACCAATGACACGTTCTTGTTTAGCCTGCCCCATGGTTTCTTTCAGGTTACTCTTACTTACATCAGATCACGTTTCTGGCCGAGGTAAGTGAGGGTTGGACATACGCAAATCATATCTCAACCATCTCAATTAATTATTATTTAACACTTCATTAATCGATTTGTCATCCTTACCTGATACTCTGTCCTTAACTCTGGCACAATTTACTCAGTGGTAGAAGCAGTAGAAGTACCGCTAATACTTCTACTAGCTCTACCACTATGGGATTTGAACTGACAATTGCGCCTCTGCGCTATGTGGTTTGGCAACCTGAACTGATGTACGTACGAAGTCCCAGTATGTAGCTGACTAACTTACTCAGTGGTCTTAAATACACAAGGAATGCTTCGAAGACACGGTTAAATACTAGTTACCTACGAATATACTTAATCCTTAAAGGCCATATTTTACGCTTATAAAGTAGAACGTAGCGACCAGCTGCACAGTAAACTAGTTCTCTGGTCGACAGACGGATATCTTGCCTACTCAATGAGTGATGTAAGTTGGTAAAAGCCAAACGAGCTTTTCCGATTCCGTGCCGCGTTTTCATCAGATACCAATCTACCAAAGCTGATGAGACTTGATAGATAAGTGGAATAGTTGACAATATAAATTACTTCATTCCGTCTCGCTATTCCAAGTGTTGAAACAGGTCTTGAAGTAACATGGTTCATTAAATGGGGGGGGGGCCAAAACATGTCTCATTGTCACTCACGAAAACCTTAGACTCTTCATTTGGTTGGTCTTCACTAAAGAGTTGTATATCACCCACGTGTTCCAAGTTGATAAATGAATCTCCTGGTAAGTATTAGCCGTATTATTAGTAAAAGTCGTATAAATCATATTTTAACTAGACTGTGAATTTTGAATATTGTATATTAATATTAAATATCTCTATGTTTAACGTAATGTTGATTGTAAAAATAAACTATATGACGAACAATGAGCATACGAATAAACCTTATAGAAATATCATCTATGAAAGAATTCACCCCTATAAAATTGTGTAATTTTTACTTTCGCAGAGTTTGTGAACAGTTGCTTGAACCATTGCAGTTTTTATAAGAAAAAACATTCCCACATCAGACTGTGATCAGTAAGACTCCACAAAACTATAGTAGATTGTATGGTATGGTGTCAGATATGATGATCAACAAAACAACTAGTGAAACATAATAAGCATATTTTGAATGTTTCATGAAAAAAAACACAAGACTAGACATACGAAATCCAGATGACATCTATAAGGTATCAATGAGATGCCAGAGATTCGAAGTTCTTTCGTTTATTCAAAAAGAAATAAGTCAAAATACAATGATTAAAAGTTATTTACCTTATAGTTAATAAATGCAGCTATTGTTTTCACCTCCAATAAATGTGCATCTAACATTCGCAATTCTAATAAATGATTATATGCCTGTTGATAATGTCTGAAATACAAAACAACGGTTTATGTGGTCTCGAATTAAAAGTATACTTACAGAATATGATGTCAACTTTAGCACTTTTTAGAGCAAGATGTATAAAGGGTGTATGATAAATAAAATTTTGCAGACAAGCCTATCAAATGACATAGCAAACTTAAATTACTGACTGAATAACTCCACGGCACATTTGAGAGAAATTGGATAGTAAGTATGGGTTCATATTGCAGGACCAAAACTTTTAAAATAACCGAATTTATTTAATTTGACCTTATAACCAATAACAACCTCGTGTACTGGACTTTGTGAGGGTTGGTGATACCGCCTAATTGGTAAAACTACGATAGCTATGTGGTATGATTCTGGAACCAAAGAGTTGGAAGTCAAGTACTTCAGCCACCATATCACCACAGAAACACTTTGAACATTAGTATGAACAACCGAAAACTTCAGTATTGAATCTTTTCAACCACTTCTAATCTCTCCATAATACCTTCCATTATGTTGTACACATTACATGAACTTGAAAACTTAGTTGGACAACATTTTTAAATTCAGGATACACAACGTAAACTTTCAGTATCGATACAATTGATGAATACACGTTGGATGAACTTACTTAAGCGCTAATCCTGGATCTTGTTTTAATTCAGCATAGAAAGCAATTTTGAACTCATGACGAACAAACAATAACTACGATCGAAAAAAAATAAAAACCTATTAGTAAGTGAATAACAAAGTCAAACAATCATATGACTTTGTACATATTTGCCATTTCACAAAGACTTGAATCCCGAAACAGTTACTGCCTTTCTTAGTATCATAGTCTTCTTCTATTCGTTGAAAAAGATTATGCTCTCGGATCGCACATTACGGAAAGGGTTTGTTTGCGAAATTCAAGCTCATTCGGGGAAGATTTAACAATAACGTTTGAAAAAGAACTACCATTTAATATGTTATCAAAATGAATAAACATACTTTGAGTTAACAAAGAGTTCAAGAGTATAGTTATGTCTAATAACGGAAAAAACAACTATATCAAACCGTCTAACGACTATCTGCGTACATGCGAACACTGCCTGCGTTGTCAACTCGAATACAGCATTTACAGATTGTTCTACCGGAGGAGTTATTAACCTGTCCACGTGTTTGCATATGGGTAGATTCGGTACATAAACCTTTGCAACAGCCTTACGAAGGACCTATCCAAGTGATTTTATTTCACGACCAGACAGACCTTCAATGAGCACACAGAGATGGCATTGTCAGTTCAAATACCAAAGTGCTGGTGGAATTATAAACTATATTGGATAAGTTTAGGGGTCGAAGATATGATTGGAGACATATAATCCAGTGAAATAATTTCATAAACAGAAAAAATTGGTCAATAACTATTCAGAAGAATAAAATTCAAGAGAACACAAAGAGAGGGTGCATATGCGCCATTGAAAACAATTTTCAGCCACAATATTCAAAGTCTGTAACAACCGTTTATTATTGTTTCGCGGACCCCAACCACGTAGTCTACATTTACCACCATGGCTCAATCCAGTTGTCGACGACTTCATGGATTTATGTGATGTTTTCTCCCAGCCTACCTTTACATCAGACGTGGCTAGTTGAGGTATTTGGTGGTTAGGAATACGTTACGCATGCCCCAACCACCTCAACTGATGAAGATTCACTACCTAGTATCCTTTTTCTAAACCCAGCATTGCTTACTCGATGATTCTAGGATATACGAGTAGTGCTTCGAAGACATCCGTAATCGAATACATGTTGCCTACGAGTATCCTCTAGTGCCATTTCGTCACACACGAGTCCATCAGCACTAGTGAGACTCCGAAGATAAGTGAAGGGATCAACACACTCAACTAATTCACTCCCTATAACTGGTTCAGATGACAATGCATGCGAAGACAACAGAACAATCTCTTTCTGTAGTGTATAAAACGCACAACTTCATAGCATCTATAAGTTTGCTTCCAATCAGCAACCAGTTGTACTTATGTACTAGGCACTAGGATATATGTGTAGGTCATGAATAGTAAAGTTGCAAGATAATGTAAGTTGACATGAAAATATTCTCATTGTTTTGGGTACCGATATCAATTGAACAAACTGTGAATATAAATTTTAGATAGTGAGGAATTTTGTAAACGAAAAACAAATTACGCAGACAAACTTCACATGTGCTCTGTGGTATGGTAATAGTTGTCAAACTAAATTCAGAGTAACATTTATTAGTTAAAATCCTCCTAATCATTTTACGTGAATAAAAGAAATACAATTTCCATGTAAAAAGTTTGTTCATTCACAACAAATGTGCGACTAACGATGAATAGTGCTATGAAAATCTAGTTATAACACAACCAGGCTTTTAATATAGATATTGATAATTGATAATACAATATACATAAACACGTGTTAACAGAAGAATAATGGTTGGTATTTGTACTTTGACAGAAGTAACCATCATTAATTGACACATAAAAATTACCTGATGACTAGCTTTATTGAGTGAATCCTTATGAGCTTTCACTTTTTTAGCTTGATTATGATAATAGTTAGCTGCCATATCACGAAATTCATCTTCTAATCTGTGTAAAACAATGAACTTATTAGTTACAATATGAAAAGATGTTTTCATGTATCAGATTCAAAATATTAAACTCGGTTTCCTTAATAAATCCTTGATTTTAAAATAGTGAAAATTTAGTCGGTGTAGTCAACATTGAATAAGGTCTAGACTATTTTTCCACATATTTCCCGAAATTCAAGTGTGGGTAATATGAAGCTTTTCATTAAGGTAAAAGAGCATGCAGGATTTTCATGCATTTAATATGACTCGTAAACATGATTTTGTCTAATGAAGTTAAGAAACAGTTCAAAGAACTGAACAGAAGAGATAAACGTATGTTCAATATCAATTATTTCACTTTTACATACAACACAAAAATGCTTTGCACAAAAACAACCTTGGGGTGAGCACCATTGGAGAAGAAACGACAACGTTATGAGGTAGAGCAGAGAGAATCACATTATAAAAGAAGAAGAATAAGTAAATCATGTAAGAAACCAAGCAGAATGGATTTCGTTTCTCGAAACTTTCAACCTCTTCATTATGAAGGACACAATATCATAATCCTGTTTAAAGGGTGAGCGACCTAACGAAACCTAGAGATGAGTAGGTAAAGTTTGCATACTAAATGTTTTTTTACATCTACTCATGAATTAAGATAGCTAGTGTTAAGCATAGACGAGAAATAAATATCGCTCGTACGAATAAAAATTATATGTAACAGTAGACCTGTTGTAGTTCTATATATTCCATTTTGCAATCTACTTGCATTTATTTAAACCGACTAAGATTTAAAGCATTATTTGAACAGACAAAATAATGGATCACATAAAAGCTATACCTTGTAATGCATCCATAAAGTAAGTTTGTATGTGACAAAACAAACAAATTCTTCCCTGGAAGATCACACTTAGTACAAAGAGATTGTGCTCGATCCATGGCATTAAGATCTTCACCCAAAGGTAAGGGAGCACGTTTCTGTATTAGAATAACAACCAGTTTACTTTCTCGACCAGCAAGTTTCGATCTAAATACAGTTTATATAAATAAATAGGCGAGAATCTGACCTAACAGTCGCCACCATTTGAGAGCATTCAGTTGACTTTTCTTCCCATTTTGGTTCATCCCAATCGAGATCATAAAATAATGCGACGAATGCAGGTATTTCTTCAAGATGCTTTTTCATCCAACCAGTTTTAAGTATACCTTTTGGCATAAACCATTCATATGAACCCGGTTGCTGCAAAAATTAATAAATATTTAGAGAAAATCCCTAAAAAATTCGAGATAAAGCAAAATACATTGATAAACTCGAAAACAATGCTTTAGGAAACCAGTGAGCAAGTCAAGCTTCATTACATTATGTCAACTACTCAATGAAGACAGATTTTATTTCATTTACAGAACAAAATAGAATGATTATTTCTGTTATTTACCTTGAGTAGAACTGTATTTGAGGTAGCAGTCAAAATATACTTTTTACGCTTTAGTTCAGGATAAACGAACAACTAAGAAAAGCTAGGAAACATAATCTTTCTGAAATATCATTTGTCAACAAAACATAAAATCAGCCGATCATATCGAAAAAGAATTAAAGGATGATATAGTATTAAAGACAATCGGCTCCACCTATAAAATTCAATGCTTCAATGAGAAGGCGAAGTTAAATGGAAGAACTCGTCAAGCTTTTTGAAACGTTTAAAGTCGAAAAGGATAATCTTTTACGAAGTTAACTCGATTGATCGAGATTTAGACCTGCCATATTTCCGTATGTTTAAAAATAAGTAAGACTTGATAGGATGCCTTTAACAGAGTTCAATCAATCAGCTGTGTAGATACGACTGCAGAGGATATGAAACTGGTGACTGGAATGTTGACATGAAACATTAAGCTGAATAATAGGACACTATTGAAAATAAGAAGCTTATCACTCTACACAGGTTTCAAACATCGTACAAACGATTATATCATAACCCACTGTACTTGCCAGTTCGTACATGCGTGTAGACACATTTAAACAGAGGTAAATATTCCAGTATTGAAATCGAAAATGTGGTGGGACATGTGTCAAAATAGGTGAATTACCATAAAATGTTAGGAGTAGAAAACCGTACTCCTCGGTCGCAAAGCATCATTGAAACAATAATCAACTTATATAAAACAAAAGGATTGATGAGTCCAACAAGTGAGTTTCATCCTACTTGAGACGAATATCAATATTGGGATAACCAAAACTCTACCTAATTACAACACAAACAACTATACAAGACGATAAGATATACTAATTGGAGCTAACAACAAACCTTGTATTTTGGCTTTGGAAACTGGTGGTCAACTGGTCTGCAAATAAACTGAAATGACTCTCGATCATGGCTTTTACTACTACTGAAGGCTCTCCAAATAGACCGATGAACTTGATTTTTTTCCGTATCCAAACCAGAAAATATGATTAGAGGTTTCGGTTTGCAGCATAGTTCATTTGGGAGTTTTTCAATGTACTCCATTTTCAGATCTGTATAATAAAAAAAGTGATTTGGTGATTCGACACTAGGTAGACAATAAAAGGTATTAGAACTATACTAACTGAGTCGACACGATTAAGCGCCCTGATACGGCCAAGAGTAGAAAGGGTTCGCTCTTCCCCTCGAAATGGTCTTATATGGCTGTGTATAATCACTGCCAGGGAGGTCCTGTTCATTGACCTACTGTGGTAGGGGTGTTGTCTAAGAAATCGAAAGGAGCAAATACAGATGTCTGGAACTTAAACCGGGTTGGTAGAAAAACAAGTCACTGGAAATACGCTAACAACAAAAAACAATTCCAACTATTCAAACTTTGCCATGGCAGTTGATAGGTCTTCATTCAGAGTTATGACGCCTCATAGCGAAAGTCAAGTTTTTTCGAAAGTCACGAGACAGACACCCCTTCAAATAACCAGAGCAACCAATAATATTGTTGCATGGAGTATTCGTACAATTTGGGAGACCGGAAGAGACATTCAAGCTGCTGCAGAAATGAAATGATACAATCCGGTGGTGCTTGGAATCGGTGAAACACATTGGACATAAGTCATACAAAGGAGATTAATTTTAGAAAATTTGCTGTCGTACTTCGGCCACTAAGAAGAAAATGTTCCACATACACAAGGAGTTGCACTGATGCTGTCCAAACAGGCACGAAAAGCTATGATTGGACGTTAATTTCATGGACCTAGGATCATCAAAACATCCGTCAAGAAAAAATTAGTGAGTAACATTCAGTGCTATGCATCTACCAACGAAAATAACGAATACGGTAAAGATTAATTCTACGAGAGGCTGAAGTTAAACGTTAAGAAATGCCAAAAAGAGGATCTGACTATTGTGATGAGATACCTAAGCGCTTACATTTGACATCATATGACGACACGGACTGAAAGAAAAAAACGAAAACGGTGGGAGATTTCCAAACCTATGTGCCTTTATTAAACTGGTCACAGGTGACACCATATTTCCACATAAACGCAAACACAAAGCCATATGGATTTCACCGGATCACACCACATAGAACCAAACCGACCATATCTGCATCAATATGAAGTTCAGAAAGACGATAGAGGAGGTGAGAACCAAGAGAGGAGTTGATATAGCCTCAGATCACTACTCGCTGGTCACCAAGATGAGATCGGAAGTGAAGTATTGGACAACGGGGTGAATATTATCACAAAAGTCTAATACGGACTTTCTTCGGTATATTGACAAACTCAACGATTTCAAAATAGCTCTCAACAATAAATTCCAGACCTATTACGGTCTACTCAATGAAAAGGAAACTACCACGGACAACAATTGGAAAGGGATCAAACAAGCTATAACTTCAGCAAGTCATGAGGTTACGGGTCGAAAAAACCAACATCACTAGGAATATATATATGACGCCCAAGTTCGAGATCAACAGTCTGGGTTTCTTATAGATCGATCGTGTACCAACCAGATCGCAGGCAACAATGGGGAAAATTGTGAAACAATCAATTGAATTCACCAATATACATTAACGTCATTGACTACGGGAAAGTATTCGAAAGTGTGGACAGGACGACACTTTGGAGGCTTATTCGCGTTTGACTGGATTATGAGGACGTCAACATTGGAGGGACAGCAAGGGATACAGTGGACAGCTCGGATGTAGCTGGAGGATTTGGACTTCGCAGATGACCTAGCTTTTCTATCCCACACAACAGAAAATGAAGATGAAGACAGCGAGTGTGGTAGCATCCTCTGTAGCAGTAGGTCTCAACAAACAGTCAGTCAGTCACAACGTACGTACGTACATTAGTTCAGGTTGCCATACCAAATTAGCACAGAGACACAACTGTCAGTTCAAATCCCATAGTGGTAGAGATAGTATAAGTTTTAGCGGTAACGGAGACATTATTCAAGAAGTATGATCTAGTGAGACGACTTTAGAAAGGGGAAATAGAAGAAATAAGGAACTCAGAATACTGGAATTTCAGAGAACACAAACAATGGATCCACACGCGTCATTGCAAACGATTTTGAGCTATGTCACTTAAGGTCCCTAAGGATCGGTTACTATCGTCTCACAGACCCCAACCAGGTAGTCTACATCTACTAAAACGACCCAGTCCACTTGTCAGTGACTTCATGGATGTGTCATGTTTAGGTGTGGCCGCCTCTAGCTTTCTACCAACCTATTCCTACACCACAAAATGTCGCTCGTTGAGGCAGTCGGAGGTCTCTCATGCATTACTATCCACAGTCTATCCACCTCTGTAATTTTAGCAGTTGGCAAGTTCGCGTTTAGTCTTAAGATACGTTGTGTGCTGAGGGAGTGTGAGGAGTAGGATGAGGTTATCTGGAAGTTGAGAAAAAGTGTGCCAACTTAGTAAGCACGTATAATGAAGTTACATTTGATGGAGAAAGCAATCAACAACAACCAGAAATAACATGCTCATGAGATTATGACAAAATGTTAATCTGAATTAAGATTCGGTAGGGTACGATCTCGAATGCGTTACACCACTGCACCTCAAAAGTTGCGCAGATAGCATAAGGCGATACCTTAACCCTGACTCCTGCAATCGAAGCCTTCAGTATGAGTTACTCCTACTCCCTGATTTCAATTTACAACCTATTACCTAACTATAAACCGTATTCATGATACCCCACATACATTTTTACGCCTGCTTGACCTAGGTCAATGTCCCGAAGGTCATTGTACGGCTGATCAAACGTTGCGCTGTTCGTTTGCACAATACTACGCTACAATTTATCCAACGAGCGTTATTTCGTTGGTGCATGTTGTGTCGGATCTTGCTTTTCCCTTGTGTTTTTCGAGACCCGAACGTAGCTGCTCGCCTATCGTGATGACCCAACCGAGCTATATTGGCTGCAGTATACGTTCCTGTAGGTCCTACCATGTCAGGCAGATAGATTGGCGAACTGTGAGACAAAGAGGCAAATCAAGGTCTGAGGGCGAAGTCTTACTGCTAAGTGTACAGGGGTGTGACAGAAGTAAGGTGTCTCCCTCCGACAACCAGCATCTGCGGCGATGCTGCCTTCTCACAAGGAAGGAAGGAGTTAGAAAATGTCGACCCTAAATATGCTACACCTCAACCTATCTCACGGATCTCCGCCCCCAGCGGTAAGGCCAATTAAAAGGCGGAGCTGACACTCTAGAAAGCTTCTCATAAAAAGGCCGTTCGTGATCGGTCTCAGGCAGTTTTCCCTAGGACTCTGCGGTCACGCTTCCAGGTCTCGAAGACCAACGCTAAATTGATTTCCTTTTTCAGGTTCCTCAAGAAATACCTTTCCATGGTGTGGGCAGCCAGGAAGTGACATCATCCCTCATACCGGTAACAGCATACGAGACCAAATTGGTCACTATCAAATCCGTCTTTTACCCCCTAACATCTCTCTTATCTCCACGAGTAATCCTTCTCGTACATCTCACCTCGCAACGATAATGCTAATGATTGGAGTACACAAACATTATTCCTAGTCTCCTGAAACCACTCTGTAAACTACACGTCGGAGCTCTCAATTTCCGGACCTTGTGCGAGAAAGTGAACAACACTTTTCCTTAGGAAGAACTTAAGAATCTCGCGCCATTGATGTATTCAGCGTCACCTAAACGCGCATGTAGTATCTGTTAGTTATTTTATAACTAATTCTAGTTATGCCATAACTAACCAATCAGATTGGTTAAGCGCTCACCACGTTAACTAATCTGACCGGTCTGTAAACCTTCATTGCTATAAATGACCTATTGATTGAAGGACGTTATTATTTTATTATATTGATGTGACTCATGTTTTTGCTCATTTTCTAAAGACACGCTATACTGGTAGGTACGTTTGCTCGTCTTACTTGATAATTGTAATTTCTTTATTTATTGTACTAATCTAATTGTTTTTTATGTTTAGAAACAGATAAAGTTTAAAACCAAATTGACTTCATTTTTTACCATAATTTTACCGCAGACTCTGTGCTCGCCATTATTGCGTTTACTGTAGGACAAGTTACATCCTACAGTATCCGAATAGAATCATTCATTTATTTGTGGACTTCTTATCTCCGGAGCGCAGTGGGATAAACGGTCTAATCGTAAATGTATTATTGAAACTCTTAGGTTTACATTTTTAGCACCTAAGACTCCCAGTTTACCTTCGGCTTACATTTGCAACTTGGTGATCATTGTTTGATGGACTATTTTATTACGCTAATGTGTGGCTCTTCCATGGGCGTTTCTATGACTGTATAAATAAGCTTGATTTTTGTGCTTAGCAACCTCGTATTTTCTTGCTGCCTGTAGAATAAATTCTTTACTACTTATGAAGAATTCTTAGTCTAGTTAGCGGGGCCGGGGACAATCGGATTAGAATAACCTGTTGTGACACTGCATCATTTGTCTTCGCTCCGTTTACTGAGTAAAATGAACACGGAATAGTTTCAGGCAAATCAGTTGACGGGCAGATTATTTGGAAACGGTGGTTTTGGAAACATAGATCCTTCGAGACTTGAATTATTACTTGAGCAGCAGCTGAAACTAACGAAGATGTTGAGAGATATCAACGACTATGAATTGATCTGTAGTCTTGGATGAAAACGGGGCATCCCACTTCATACGTTGATTGTTTTTCAGACTATGTCTATACTGGTGTAAGTGCTGTACTTGGATGCATAGGGCTGTCGATCGTTTTCAATCTTCTTACCATCAGCATTTCTGCTGGGACCTGTACTCTGGTAACGTCTCATTTAGTATTGTTCGACAAATGTACAATAAATTTTTGTAATGCGTCAGCTGGTGTCCCCTCCCCTTTTGACCCAACCGATGGTCTTTCAAACGTATCCACAAACACTTTTGCTTGATTATTCGACTGCCGTTGGTATAGTGGCGAATGCATTTGCATGGTGGCTAGCCGTCAACAGAATGTTTGGAATAGGCTAGAGGTGAATCGCGGACCGTTGTCGGATACAGTTACACCCAGCATGCCATTTCGGAA